GCCGGGAGCGGTGGCATCATCATCATTAATGACATCATAACCGTGACATCGACACTCCTCCCTCGGTGACATCATCGGTGCCACATCCCCCCCCTCCCCAGCAAGGCCACAGTTGTGACATCATCCCGCCCGTCAGCGAGTGGTGACGTCATTGTCCAGTCAGAGCCGTGACCTCATCATCGTGGCTCCTCCCCCAGTGACACAGCAGCGGTAGTGAYGTCACCACCGTGTCACGTGACACCAGCACCAGTCCCTTAGCCTTGCTGTGGCAATGACGTTGTGACGTCACTGCTGTGACATCACCACGCTGTTGTCATGGTGACGTTGCCGCCATGATGTCACCGCTATGACATCGCTGCTGTGATGCTGCCGCCATGGGATTGTCATTGTAACACCGCTGCTGTGACGTCACTGCCATGACGTCATCGCTGTGCCCTTGCCTCTGTGACGTCACAGCCGTGACATCACTGCTGTGAAAACCCCGTTATGACACAGCTACCGTGGTGCTGTTGTCATGACAACACCGCTGTGACATCGCTACCACAACRCGCTGGTTGCCATGACGCCACTGCTGTGACATCACCACCACACCGTTGTCACCATGATGTCACTGCTCTGACATCGCTGCCGTGGCATCGCCGTCACAACGTCACTACCACGACACCATTGTCGTGACGTTGACACCATGATGGCCGTGACACTGCTACCGTGATGCGGTTGTTGCGGCATCGCCACCATGACATCACTGCCCTTACTTCACCGCCACAACGCTGTTGTCATGACGTCACTGCCATGACATCACCACCACGACACTGTTGCCGCGACGTCACCACGATGCTGCTGCTGCCCGGATGCCATCACGGTGACCTCAACACGGGGCGGGGATGGGGTGACACACAGACAGACACACAGTCAGATGCACAGGCGGGCGCACGGTCGGATATACAGCCGCACGCTCGGCCGGGTGCACGGTTGGATACACAGCTGCACGCACAGCCGGGCGCACAGGCGGACACACAGCCGGGCGCACAGGCGGACGCACGGCCGGGCGCACAGGCGGGCACACAGGTGGACGCACGGCCGGGCGCACAGCCGGACGCACAGCCGGACGC